CCCCCCCCCCCCCCGCCCCCGGGCCCTTCCCTTCCCCTCTGTTCTGTGCGTGTTGTTTTTGCTGACTACCTAAGGCAGGAGGGATCTGGGTCAGTGATGGAGGATGGAGAAAAAGAAGAGAGGAAAATAAGAGGTGACAGCCTGCTGGGGAGCCGGATGACATTTTATTTGAATGTTCCATGAATAGATCGCATAGCCTACATAAACAAGGGCATGCCAGTTAGGGCCAGCTGTACTGAGATCCAGTTACGGCTCGCCTGCGTGTTGAATGAGATATTGTCCTGGGGAGACCCTAGTGGGGAGCTCCAGGCTCCAAAGGGGCCAGGACTGAAGAGAGGCAGTTTGGCCTCGTGGCTCATTCTCACACCCAGATTGGAGTCCTGACGCTGCTAAGTTGTAGCTGTGTGACCTTGGTCAAGTCACTTAACCTTTCTGTATCTTAGTGTCTTTACCTGTAAAATGGAGATAATAACAGTGCCCGCCTCACTGTAAGAAAGAAATTAGATGGTGCTTGTAAAAGCCTCTTAATGGAGTGCCTGGCCCATAGAACCCACTCAGTTAGTACTGGCTGTTGTTACTGTGGATCATGAGAATAACACCAGTAAGGAAGTGCTGTGTGTCTGTTGATCCCGGGCATGGAGAGAAAGGCGTTTATGTGTATGTGCTTATGTCTGGAGATTTGTGGCAACGTGGGGGTAGGAGGGCCTCCAGGGGCCCCTATTCCATCCATCTGGCCTCTAAGCTGCCTTCAGTTAAGCCATCCAACACAGATGGGCATCTATGCTATTTTCTAAAATCCAAAGGGAATTTTCATCTCCTCCTGCTGTGCCTGAAGACTCAGGGTCAGGAAGTTCCGCTCACTCACCTCAACCCTTTCTGCTTCGTTTAACCCCACCTCCTCTTGCTTAGCTCTCAGCAGGATGTGTTCTGCCCCACACCCAGGGCTCTGACACCCAGGGAGAGACATTGGGCGAGCACGTGGTCCCCTTCCCTTGAGAGGTGTCTGTGTGCGTGCTGCTCTCACGGGAGAGAGTCGGTGGTGGTGACGTGTGTGCAAGCGTGTCCACGCGTGCGTCCCAGGGCACTGGGCACTCCAGTCGGAGTGAACACGTGTGTCTGCATGCGGGTGACTCTGCTGCCGTGAAGATCCCACAGCCTGACGTAGGGAAGGGGCTGCTACGGGACCAGTGGGAGGGAAACCGACTCCCGTGTTCCCCACCCCCAAACACCTAAGTGGGTGGCTCCATAATGGGTTTCTTGGGGAGAGTTGCGTTCACCAGGGATGCCAGGTAGCACCCACCACTCCTTTTGTTGATTTACGGAAGCCGCGTCAGAGAGCTTATCTGTGCTTCTCGGTGTCCTTCTCTGCACAGTGGGCGGGAGGGTGACCCTTACATCATGGGGCCAAGAGGAGGAGCTGTTGTAAGAACCTTCACGCCAGAAGGTGAGTTCGGAAAGGTGGTGTTAGAATACAGGAAGAGCTCCTGTGAGCAGGTGCATATAGGACTGTTGCTTCTCACGCTTGGGAAGGGGTGACTCCCCGGGAGGGAGAGCAGCAGGTGGCTTCGTAAGCCTCCACTCCTGAAGCACCGAGACAGAGTTTTTGCTCCGGAACTCCTCTCTTCCTTACCAGAACAGGGCAGATGGGTGGTAAAGAACACTACCTCCTGTGGTGGTTCAAACACTTTAGTAGATTTCAGGAAGGGCGGGAGCCAACGTTCTCCAGTGTCCTCTCCACCCAAGCTCAGGGGGCAGCGTCCGGAAGCAGATTCAGGGGCCACACCTTCTGCACCTGCTTGATTTCCTGGAGGGAGAAATCCAGTTTCACGGTTCAGGATCTCTCTCCCTCCCTGGAATCTGCACTGCCCCCCGCCCCAGCTTGGGAGGGGAAGGGGCCGCTTCTTCGCCTTAGAAAATTGCTCCCCTAAAAGGCCTGGAGATGCAAATGCCGGGCAAAGCAGAGCATTAATGAATAGATATAAAGCATCCGGCAGCCATCGCGGTGAACCATTTGGCGCGAAAGTGGCAGCCTCAGAGCACCTGTGGCTCCTCCCACCCCCCCAAGGCGGAAGGACCTTGCAGCAAAGCAGCCAAGACCGCCCCCCGGGGTGCACATTCTCAAGCAACAGGCTGCTTCCCAGCAGGGGCGGTGTCTCCTGTGACTCACCGCCCACCACGGCTGCCCACGTTTCAGGTCCCAAGACAACAAAGAGGGCACCCCTCCCATGGGAGCTGCTGCTGGGAAGGACCCAGGAGCTACCCTGGAGGGATGAGGCCTCCGACAGCAGGGACAGACAAGGCGGAAAGCCAAAGAAGTGGGGACCTCAGGCGGTTCGAGCCTCAGGGCCCCATCTCCCTGGGGGAGGAGCCTCTTGCTGGACTCCTCATAAAGGCCCCCTGTGGTGGGTGCTTTTCTGAGGAAGGTCCTTTTTTCTATGAGATCCAGGGCTTGGAGCCGCCCCCAAAGCTCTGGCCTTCTTTCTCCCAAAGCCACATTGCATAACAAGGAAATGGGGCCTCCTCAGAGATCCAGATGCTTTTTCCACATGATTCACCTCAGCCTCGTGCCCCCAAGGAGAGTTTTTCCGCATCATGTAGGTGATGGTGCTTGAAACGCCTAAAAGCAATTTACAAATGTAAGGTGTGATTACTATCAAAAATTAATTTATGCCAAAGGGACATAACACATAGGCACGGAGAGGACTCAGACCCATGCTCTGGACAGGGGCAAGATAGCCAAGCATTCTCCTTTCATCTCCCTCCCCACCCCCCGCCCCCGCAACCCCCATAGGAGGGCACTGGGCCAAGACTTCCTTCCCCCTCCCAATGCCAGCCAGCCCCTGGCAAAGCAGGGACACCTGTCTAAGAACAGCTCAGAAGGGGACAAAGACATTTTAAGCCACCCCTGTCACTGTCCTAAGTAAATCCAGCCCCAAACACCTCCTCCTGCCTTTCATCATCACCCCTGGCCTGGCCCCTCATTCCAGACACTTCCATCCACTGCTCCTCAGACTGAAGTTCTCTCACCTCCCCACCCCTCCCCCATCCACCCTTTCCCTAGACCTTTCCAGGTGTTAAGCAACCAAGATGGGGAATGTATTAGTCAGTGTTCTCCAGAGAAAAGAGAACCAATAGAATGTGCACAGAGAGAGAGGTTTGTTTTAAGGAATGGCTCGCGTGATTATGGAGTCTTAGTCCGTTTGGCCTGCTATAACGTGATACCATGGACTGCATGGCTTATGAAGAGCAGAGATTTCTTTCTCACAGCTCTGGAGTCTGGGAAGTCCAAGATCAAAGTGCTGACAGGTTTGGGTCTGGTGAAGATCGCTTCCTGGTTCATCGGTGATGCCTTCTTAGTGTGTCCTCACATGGCAGAAGGAACAGGAGAGCTCTCTGGGGTCCCTTTGACAAGGGCACTGATTCCATTCATGGGTCTCCACCTTCATGGCCTTTTATTTGACATAGAACCCACCTCCAAATCCCATCGCATTGGGGGCTAGGATTTCAACATGGTAATTTTGGTGGGACTCAACCATTCAGTCTATAGCAAGGGGGCTGGCAAGTCCAATGTCTGCAAGGCCGGCTGGCAGGCTGGAGACGCGGCGAAGAACCCACCCTGCAGTTCAAGTCCAAAGGCCTTCTGCTGGCAGCATTCCTTCTTGCTCACAGGAGGTCAGTCCTTTCTTGTCTTCAGGCCTTCAGCCCTGTGGATGAAGCCCACCTACCTTATGGAGGGCAATTCACCTTACTCAAAGCCCACCGATTCAAGTGTTAATCTCATCTAAAACAATTCACAGAAACTTCCAGAATAACGTCTGACCACATAACTGGATGCCTAGGCCCAGCCAGCTTGACACATAAAATTAACCATCACAGGAGCCAAAATGAAGGACAGGAAGGCCTGCTTTCATTTCTGTCTGTTGGAATCTAGGGAAGGAAGGAAGGAAAGATACCACAGGGCAGGGGTCTGGGGCTGTGCTGGGGCAGCTACAACTTCCGGAGCTCTCAAAGCACAGTGGCAACAGTACCCCACTCTGTTACACACGAGGCTGTCCTCACCACGTTTATGTCCCTTTCCACCCCTGGGGCACTAAACTCTTCCACAAATGTATCAGAAGAGCCTAACCTGGGGCAAGCTCTGTGCCAGGCATGGGATGTACCAGTGTGAGCAGGATGATTTCCTCATTTCTTCACACAGGACACCCCTCCCTCTGAGCCGTGGGACTTTGTCTCAGTAAACTGGAAATCGTTGGTGCCATTCTGTTCCACGGCACGGGACAACCCGCCACTCAGAGGCACAATGCCTGGGCCCTGGTCACACAGCAGGAAGGTGGAGAGAACACCCATTTCCTCCCCGTACACTCGCCCCGCGGACCTTGACCTCCAGAGATTCCTCTGGTTTCATGCAAATGCTCTCTCATAGCCCCCCCCCCCCCCCCCCCCCCCCCCCCCCCCCCCCCCCGGAACTCTGGAATGCTCTGCCACCCCCTCTGTCTTGCCGTTCAAGGTTCAAGTCATGCTGTAAGGATATATATATTTTTTCAAACGAGTAATTCCTGCATGCAATAAAAAGATACACTATCTTCTGAATGAAATATAAAGAGTTCACAGCAGCTGTCTCCCCAGTTTGCATTTTCCGCTGCAGCTGATAGGAAGGACAGATAAAGATAATGGGATTTTTTTTTTCCTTTCTTCTTTCACCTCCCTCTCTCCCTGGAAGGTGGAAGTGTAACAAATT